GCAAAAATCTCTCAGTTAAAAAAAAAAAAAAAGGACCAGGAGGTAGTACAGGAGGGACCTGGAGCACAAGGCTGCTGAATACTGTGGACAGCAATCACAGGTTGGAAGTCACCACGTGTATCTCTTCATCTGGGAAAAGCAGCCCATTCGGATAAAGAGCTTTGAAAGCCAGCCTCCCTTTGACGGGCACAAATAGTCCCAAATACAAACACAGCCACCTGCACTCACTTGTACTTATAAACGAAGTCAGCACTGTTTGAACACCTACATTTACATAAATTAGACTATCTATTTTACACCCAGGGTGGTTCTGCACCTGCTAGGAAAATACTGAGCAAGCTCAGGCTTTGCCAGAGAGCAAGGCAGTCCTTCACGAATACAACCTCCTCTAGGTAGCAACGCTTGCCTTTTTTTTTTTTTTTTTTAGTTTGTTATAGGAGAGGGACAAAGAGAAAAAGTGAGAAATTACCCCCCAGGGGGCACGACCATGCAGCAATACAGCAATCTCTCTCCTCCTTTCTCTTCTCGGGATTTTGGGCAGACATGCACACATATTCAGCATGATTTTTAGGCTGCCTAGGCCCAGGACTCGAATTGTCTAGTTGGCCATGTGGGATTCCAGCCACCTTAACCTCCATGTCACCTATTGACTCACAGCACTTGTCTTTTGCTTTGTCCATTTTAAAACACCTTGTGGAATATGGTAATATCTTTGACTGGACTAATACACAGTGTATTCATGCTGGGAAAATCCATTCTGTATGCTGTAAAGATGAACAGTGATTGAATGTCGAAAATATTGGGTTGTCTGGAAAGTCATGACGTGTTTTTCTTTTCTCTTTTTTTAAAAAATAATTATTTTATTTAACTTTATTTTTTATTATTGTTACTTTCCAGTTTGATCAGACAGACAGACAGAGAGAGAGAGAGAGAGAGGGAAAGTGAGAAAGCAAGCCACCAGATTCAGGACTTGAACCACGGGCGGCTATGTGGGAGTCCAGCGCCTTTAACCACCACACCACCTGCCGGCCCCCATGGCGTGTTTTTCTATGCAAAAGTGTGTCATGACTTCTCCAACAACTCAATAAAAGAAAGAAGAGAGAAACAATTTTTTAATTAAAAATAAGTAACATAGGGGGACCAGCAATTAGTGTAATGGCTATGTCGCTGGACTCCCATGTAGTCGACCATGGTTCGAGTCCCAGACCTGGTGACTTAAACTCACGCCGGGCATATGTGTGTGCATGCCCAAGATCCCGAGAGGAGAATGGAGGAGAGGGTATTGCGACATGGCCATCCCCCTGGGGGGTGATTTCTCGCTTTCTGTCTCTCTGTCTTGCTCTTTCTGGCGAGGGCACGTACCCTTTAGCAAAAACCTCTCCGGAAAAAAAAAAAAAAAGTTTTTTAAAGTAACATAAAACACATTCTGAAAACAGCCCCATGGCCTCAGTGCATAACAAAGCCAGAATCCACATGGCTGCACAGTTCGAATCCTGGCCCTAGCGGCTCAAAAACCACACCAGTCACATGTGTGCATGCCCAAAAATCCCAACATGGTGGAGAAGTGGAGAAGGGATTGCAATGTGACCATGTCCCATTGGTGGGTGGTTTCTCCTTCTTCCTTTGTCTTCTCTAGTGAGTGCACATGCCCTCTAGCAAATAAAAATAAATAAATAAAAAACATGGGACCAGCAGTTAGCATAATGGCTATGTCACTGGACTCCCATGTAGTCGACCACGGTTCGAGTCCCACACCCAGTGGCTTAAATTCACACTGGGTGCATGTGCGTTCATGCCCAGGATCCCAAGAGGAGAATGGAGGAGTAGGGATTGTGGCGTGACCATCCCCTCTGGGAGGTGATTTCTCACTTTCTATCTCTCTGTCTCTCTCTGTCTGGTGAGTGCACGCATCCTATAGCAAAAACCTCTCCAAAAAAAAAAAGAATGAATGAATGAATGAATAAATAAATAAATAAACAAACAAACATTGTATGTTAGAGAGAAAATATCCCCCACAATGGGGCATGGTTGTACAACACTCCCCTTTCCTTCACTTCTCTATCCTATTTGGATTTGGGGCATACACACATGCCTGACATGTTCTTCTAGTAGCCAGGACTGGGATTCAAACTGCAGTCACCATATGGAATCTGGCTTCCTTACCTACTGCACTATGGACCAGCCTTGTAAGAGATCTTAAATGCTTATATTTAAAAACATACATATACATTATCACAATGTTTACACTGCACAAAATACAATGCCACATAATTGTGATTCACAGTTCTATAAAATATGAATCCAGAGTCTGCACATGGTTTAGCCTAAAAGAAACGAGCAGCACCACAGTAATCCCCATAAGAACCCCAAAACACACCTGAAGGAATGAGCGCTGTTAGGAACAATGGAGAAAAACAATGAGATGAATTAACTTCATTGTCAGCCTTTGAGCCTGATGTCCAGGGCCAACTACCCACCCAACACCACTGCTGCCACATTAGAGTCCTTTCCCTCAGGTCCTTACCTGCTTCTGGAAATTAACTTCAGGCAAACAGGTGCTCAACTGTGAGGGGAAGGCTGTGGCCGGGGAGAAATAGGAAGGTGCCACCCTGTGGAAACAGAACACAGGTCATGGGAGGAGCCAGGAGGGCCCTGGAGCAACGCCCCACGCTGGGGAACACAGGACTGCTGGCGGGAAACCCATGGAGATGGGCTGTGCCCTGGTCCAGAAATACCTGTGTGTCTGGCAAGCCAGAGAGCCTACCTGCACAACCCTTCTGAGGTAAGGTGCTGACAGCAGCACTGCCTGTCATTTCCAGCTGAAGCAGGTCAGCCTACTGACACCACACCCTCTCCTCCTCTTGGGTTAGTCACCAAGTCTAATTGAGCGCCTGTGCTCAGAGGTGTCGTGGACCAGAGTGAATCACTCCAGAACACCTGATGGGCAAGTCCTGCACCTGCAGAGCTGACGTCCCACCCACCAAATATAACACAACAAGCAAGGCCAGGTACCTCGGCACTTTGTCCCTTTTATGCACGGACAGTGCAGCCATGTGTGCTTGGTGAGTACCAGCCGCTGTATATGTAAACATCAATTAACAGACACGTGTCATGCACAAACATAGGGCATAGTTGCAGCTTGGGTAGACCTGTTGGCCTGGCCACATATCTGCTTGCCTCAAACACACTTCTTCCAGGAATCAAAGAACACTGTCTTGTTTCCTCTTGCCTCCCATATGTGATCTCACTGTCTGGGTACCACATACAGGCTAATCTAGCAGGAGTGTGGACCTTTGAGGGGTGGAGGGACAGGAGAGGCGTGACCCAGGGAGTCCTGCCCATCTGCTCAACTACGCTCTTCATCCCTCTACCCCAGGACACCTGGCTTGAAAGGTGGGTTTCCACGGGCCAGCAGGTGGTGTAGTGGTTGGGGCACTGGACTCTCAAATGGCTGACCACAGTTTGAGTCCCGGACCTGGCAGCTTGCTTTCTCACTTTTCCATTCATCCTCTCTCCCTCTGGTCAAACTAAAGAATAATAAATAAAATTCAATCAAATAATTCTTTAAAGTAAAAAATAATAATAAAAAAATAAAAAAGAAAAGAGAGATGGGCTCCCAGATCCCAGTCCTGCGACGAGGAGAGGTCTGGGGACAGCATGTGAGAGCTGGTTCTGAGGGAGGCTCAGAACCAAGGACAATTCAGAAACCCACTGTCCTCAACGACTTCTACAAAGAAAGCTGCTCGCTTACCCAAGGGGCCATGGAAGAAGTGTATTCCAGAGAGTGTGCAATTTCAAAAGATCCCTTCCACCCCCCTAAGTCAGACAACACTCTAACCCGAGCCTCTGTTCTGTGTGTCCCTTCAACCGTAGATGGCCCTGGGCGGGAAAGCTGTCACCTACCACTGCCACCCGCTCCACCATCAGACTAACACTACGGAACAGGCCATTTATAGCAATTAATTGCTCTTTTATCCCTTTAGATATCAAAGTGCTGAAATACCAAGCAACCCTGGGGAAATTTCCACCCAAGTCTCCACATTCCTTCAAAAGAGATGAAAAGAGAGCCTTCTCCCACTTCTGAAGGGCTCTAATTTCTTCTGCTACCATGACAGCCAATTATCTCTCCTGTCCACAGGACTCAGATCCTTCCAAGCAGCAGAGGAACTGTATTCACAACTTTAAGGGAAGGGCTCAGAAGGACGGGGATTGTCCAAAAATGCATGCCAGCTGCTCTACCTGCCGCTTTGTAACTATTTTATTTGATTCATGTTCCCAGTTTTCAGAGAAGGAAACTGAGGCTCGAAGTCCCAGACACCCCACAGCCAGTGTAAGACAGTAAGCATGTGCCAGGAGCTGGTCCTGTTTTCAGTTCCACTCCGTCCACTGTGCAACCTGAGGTTGGCCACTGCCTTAATGTGCACTTCATTTCGTCATTCATGAAAAGGAGGCCCAGCCTGGTGGTGCCTTAGCGTAATAGACTGCAGTACTGGAGGCCATGTGACCAGCTGCAAGTTCAGATCCCAGGGTTGGGTTAAACATATACTGAGCACGCATGGGCAGCCAAGCTCCTGAGGAGTCAGAGGGCTGGGAGAGGGGACTGTGGCATGATACAACCCTGTGAAGGGTGCTCTCTCTCTGCCCTGCTCTCTCATGTATGCATGCTTCCTATCATATATATGTGTGTTTTATATATCTATATCTATATATATATACACACACAGATATGACCTCTTCCACATCTTCCCTTGATGAACACAGGATTAGGACCAGCTTCATGAAGCTTTGATGCGCTGATGTTGTCACATGCAAACATGTGACCAACCTGTGTAGTTGGCATGTAATTACAATGCCACCCTCAGCATGTGAATGACACACCAACAGCATGTGTGTGGTTGTGTGTAATTACCATGTCATTTGTGATATATAAATTATGTGTAGCTGGTGTGTAATTGCCATGCCATTTCAGACATGCTACTGAAAATAATGTGTAGATAACACGCATGTGCTTGATGTGTAACTTTCACGTCATACTTAACATGCAAACAAACTGTGTAGTTGGCATGTGATTCTTTTTTTTTTTTGGAGAGGTTTTTCTCTACAGGGCGCGTGCGCTCACCAGACAGACAGAGAGAGACATAGAGACAGAAAGCGAGAAATCACCCCCCGGGGGGATGGCCATGCCGCAATCCCTTCTCCTCCATTCTCCTCTCGGGATCTTGGGCACGCACGGACACGTGCCCAGCGTGAGTTTTAAGCCACTGGATCTGGGACGCGAACCACGGTCGACTACATGGGAGTCCAGCGATATAGCCATTACGCTAACTGCTGGTTCCCGGCATGTGATTCTTGACATTCTGTTGACATGCGACTGATGTGCAAATGATACACATGTAATCACCATGTAACTATAGACGTGATTGACATGTGAATGGCATATGAGTAGTGGACATATAAATGCCATGGCGTTCTCAACATGTATGTAGTTGATGTGCATGTGACATGTAGATAACATGTGAGTCACACGGGTGGTTGGCATATTATTGGCATGTCATTCATGGTATGTAAATGACACACATGTAGTTGGTGTGTGATTACCATGTTATTCTCAATCTGTAACTGATATGCGCAGTTGGAATGTAATTACCATGTTGTCGCCAACATAATATGTGAGGGACACATGTGTAATTGGCATGTAATTACCATCACATTCTCGACGTGCAATCATCCTAATAAGTTCTGAGCAAAGGCCTTGTACTGAACCTTGTAAAGTATATACCTAGTCCAGAAATAATCAAAAGGTCAAGGTCTGTCAAGCTATCAACCCCCCGCATACAACTTAAGTTAGCTATCATCCAAAGGAGCTGGTGGCGTGGTTTCCGTGCACAGGGGCACATGTATGTAAAGGCCCTGAGGCAGTAAGACATTTGGCCTTTGGAATAACTGGAGGAAGAAGGCGCGGAATAGGCTGGAGCTGGACCGGTGGGTTTCTAGGAGGAATGAGAAGAAATGAGGCAATGAGGCCTCGGCAGAGCAAGGAGGACAGAGAAGTAAGGCTGGTCTAAGGTGGGATTATGGAGGGATAAGGGACGGGAAGCATGGAAGGCCTGGACTGCAGTGGCACTTCTGGCAGGGATGGCCCCAAAGGACAGGCTAGGCTGCTAGACTGGGAGCCCATGAAGACTCATAAACAGAGAGACGAAGTGAGTCCACTCACCTTTCAGGCAGTGTGACCTACAGTGGACACCAGAACAACCTGACCTGGGGAACACCAGAGGCTTTCTGACACAGCCTCCCAGCCTGCGACAGCTGTACAGGTCTCCTCCTACACTGTCTCCTGGTTCTTTTTTTCTTTTTTTTTTTTAAAGAGGTTTTTGCCTTGGGGCACATGTGTGGGATGGGGGTGGGGCAGCAGAGACAATAAGAGGGAAACTGAAAAATCACCCCCTGGGGGGATGGCCACACCACAATCCCTTCTCCATTCTCCTCCCGGGATCTTGGGCACGCACCCACAAATGCCTGGCATGAGTTTCAAGCCATCAAGTCTGGGACTCAACCATGGTCAATCACGTGGGAGTCCAGTGATGTAACCATTACGCCACCTCCAGCTTCCTCCTAGTTCTTCTATAGTGAGATACTTGGATTGGAATGAGAGCCAGGAGACTTTAAAAAGAACTGATGAGATGGGCCAAAACAAGCAGGAGGGCACCTCCTCTAAGACACAGAGCAGTCAGGGCATAGCCGGAGTCTGGCTGCAGCAGCTGGCAGGTGCAAGAAAGGTCAGAGGGCCAGTTTGGAGCTTCCCTCTGCTGTGCAAAGTCCAACCAGCCATGCAGGACATCAAGTCCTGGTCAGGAGGTGACCACAAACAGAGAGAAGTCAGAGAAAGCTGGGGTCCACATGGATGAACATGATGATGTGCTAGTGAAGGACAGGCCAGGCCAAGGGCCCAGAGGCCACAGTGTCGGGGGTCTAACACAGAGGTAGATAACTAGTAAGAGGTGAGAAGGGGTTGTGTTTTTTTTGTTTTTTGTTTCCTAGAGGGTATGTGTACCTACCAGAGAAAGATAGAAATAGGGAGTAAAGGAAGCCCCATTCCACCGGGAATGGTCACACTACAATCCATCCTCTTCCACCTCTCCCCCCTTTCAGGATTTCGAGATTCAGGACACAAGCATGCGTGTCTGGCATGTTTCTCAAGCAACCAAGGCTGGGACTCAGACCATAGTTAGTTGGCCATGTGGGATCTGACTGCCTTAAACCACCAGGTCACGGAACTGGCCCAGAGGAAGGGTTTTCTAGGAAGGAGACAGAATGGGACAGTGAAGGGGATGAGCTGCGTGCCCTGGAGACTACCCATCCCATTCCCATCAGACGCCATAGGCTCTCTGGCTTTTGTTCCCCATCACGGTGCTATTAGCCATATGTTCGTTTATTTAAACCCTCTACTGCTCCTCCATCTCCCCCTTTTAACAGTACAAGGATGCTTTAGTGGCCATAACAGCTATGGTGCCCAACCCAGCAGCTGGTGCACAGCCATCACTGATGGCTCACTCGCTTCTCCTCTTGAGCTGGAGCCCCTCTCCTTCCGACATGTCCAGCTCTCCAC